ATCCTGTGCCCAACTCGGAGTGGGATTTCTAACCAAGTAAAAATTTCATTTGAATGCTATTTTCATCTCCCTAGTACTATTTAACGTCCTTTATATTATTGGAAAAAGCACGTCGACTGGAAGGAAGGGGAGCAACGAACCTCTTAATGAATGCAGTACAAAATACATGTTAAAGGAAAAAACCCACAGTCCACACAACTCCACGTATTCTAACTCCTCATGAATTTTTTTTGACATCCCTTTTCAAAAATGCTCTGCCAACTGCCCCAAATATGTTCCCCTCCTCTGTGCTCGCTGAATAATTCGCAACCAGTGGCCACTTGACCCACCCCATTAGTCGTACCAAATCTACTTTGATCGTGAGCGCTTCATTTTGCCGATATAAGTATAAGTATAAGTATAAGTATAAGTATAAGTATAAGTATAAGTATAAGTTTATTACATCTACAAAAGGCACACGTGAAAAAGATAATCGAGCATCTCTATGCATACAAAGAGGAGTGTGTTCATAAGAAAAAATTCCGATACAAAAATAGGTATCTATGGCAAATGCGTTGATAGCTGTTGTTCTTCCTATGGAATGAGACCTCTGCTTTCACGCCCGTCTTCGACTGAATTATAGTAACCGCTACCTTCGTCCACGTGGCTATTTAACCCATTCGCGACCGCGCGGATTGCGCAATAGCAGGAGAGTCAGGAGATTTTTCTTCAATAAAATTTGAGTGGATGGAGATTTCCCCTGCCCAGGGCTGGCGTAGATGAATGAGGGTATGAAGATTCTTTTCAGGAAAGAAAACTTTCCAAATTCCATTTGAAACACGGCAGCCACCGGTGGATGCCATTGTCACGAATGGGTTAATCAGAAAGGAATGCGCAGTTGTTGCCACATGCTGACGCTCACACGCTCGCTAAGTGAGTTTCAGAAGACCTTCTCCCCATAAATGATCAAACATCTCTGAAAAAGTACCTTGAACAGTGCCTTCCGTCACCATGTCGTGTATTTTCCCTTCAGTCGTGTTACTAATGAAGTCGTCAATGACCTGAAAAAATCGATTAGGATCAACAAAATTCTTCTCAGATTCAAGAATACAAGGGTTAAAGGCACATCCCACCATGGAAAATGTGTGTAATTATGTTCAAAAATGGAAGTAACTATGGTGATTATTACACTCGTAACGAAAAAAGATTAAGAACATTTTTGAAAACCTCAAAATCGCTATCGTTTGTATGGGCGAGGTTTGCGCTTCGGTGCCGTGTCTCATTGGTTCCTCATATGTCTTTACTGTAGTTTACCGTATCAAGATCAAGAGCGAACCAATGAGGCCCCGCGGTAGGGCACAAGCCCCGCCCACAAGATCAACGCGCAAAACGTTTTCATGCTTCATATGTTCTCATTAATTACTAATGTATCAAGTATTTATTATACCATAACCACGGTTATTTCCGAGCACAATAGTCTGCACCTGTTCAATCGCTGAATCTGCCTTTAATTTTTGGAAGAGGTTACCTTGGCTGCTTCCTTTGCCTTGCTGAAGTCTAGTGCTTCCACTTTTGCTGCGTATTTCGTCCTGATAGTTTGCTCGTATTTCTTCTCAATTTCAAACTGTTTACTGAAAATTTCTGAAGAATTTTGATTGAGAAGGTTGTACAAAATGCATCTCACTTCAAGAAAAAACCGTTTGATCTATTAGTCAGCTTTACACATTCGGTTCATCCATATCTGTGGAGAGCTTCGAATAATACTCCTCAATGTCGTTGTCTGACGCTCCTGAATGCAATCGGAGGACTTGCATGGAAAACTATTGGGATAAAGCAAGTAATATCACTTTTGGAAATGACAGAATTGATCTGAGACTTGGTAGTTCCCTCTGCACCGCTCGACCATTGCAAATCGAAGACTCACGAAATTGCGTACACGACAAAGATTCGCTCTGGCCGGCAACTTGTCCGGAGTCATGCAAGTCGAGTCTGTTCGACCCGCCGGAAACATCCTGAGTAGAATCGTCTTTGAGAAACACTGTGAAAATTCAACCTCAGCCTAACTTGATTATGCACAACTTGTGAGGACAATCATGTTCATTCTAGTACATCTTT